CTGAGTCATTCCCCTCGGGCCCCAAGGAAGGGGTGATTTCCTGAGCAGCCCAGCCCTCTGGGCAGCTCAGTCTCCTCCCGCGGGCTGTGCATCCCCTTATCTCGCTGCAGCCCTCTCCCAGGGCTTGGCCGGAGTGGTCTGGTCTTCATGTTTCCTCAGCAGGAAACATGGATTCAGGGCTCAGAGAGAGACCCAGCAGTGCAGGAGCACGAAGGGCTGACCAAACTGGGTCCCCTGAAGCTCCCTCACTTGGGGTTCCCTGCTGGGCACCCAGGGGTCCTTTTCCCAGTTACCTGAATGAAGCCTCCTCTGATGCCTGGTTTGAACCCAGCCTCATCCTGTGGGAGGGGCTCCGGCCTGCTGTGGCCCTGTGCCAGGCACGTAATGTTAAAAAAGTGACTACAGTGGAGGGAACAGGAGCCCCAGTCAGAGGTGTCCATGCTGTAGGTATCAATCAGGACAGGCTTTGGAGTCAGACAGACCCGAATTCAAATCTCAGTTCTACCCCTGAATCGTGACTTGGGACAACTCAGTTAATCCATCTCAGCCTCCACTTTCTCTTGTGTCAGGTAAGGACAAGGGCACTTAATCGAGTCCTTGTGTGATGTAATGAGACAATGTACTAGCACAGGACTGGCAAACCCAACTTTTACCCCAGGAGGAGTGAGTTTAGATGACAGTCCTCTCTTGGCAGGGTTCACATCTTGTCTAGCTAAGGTGGAGGTATGCATAGCTGTTCATCTATAAAAGCACCCCAACAGAGGCACAGAATTCTAGAGAGACTCAGGGGAAGGAAAGTGTGTGTGTGTGTGTGTGTGTGTGTGTGTGTACTGAAATCTCCTCAAGGCTTACAACACTTTGGGGCTACCTTTTCCATTTGTATCCAGTTAGAATAGCCCCGTCTGTACTCCACGTCCTCTGGGATGTCCCTGCCCTCCTCGGTTTTTGCTAGGACTCATCTGTCAATCTGAATTCCTGCTTCTGCTAAATTCTGATCACTGGGTTGCTCACTTTCTGAGACCAGCATCCTCTCTCAAGTCCACGGGTATCGTTACCTTTCTCCCCTTGTTCCTAAAACACCACGAGTATAAGGTTTTGTGTATGGAATGCTTTTGTGGAGTATTTGGGGATGCTTAAGGGAAGCTAAGCTTTCACAGAATAGGGGGTACACGTAAAACTAAGTACTAGCCATCACTGTTCTGCAATTTTCCTCCTACAGTCCCTCCACTGGAATTTCTCACTGGTAAAGATTTCTTCTCCTCAGGTTGCTACCGTTCACGTACAAGCTCACCCTCGCCCTTTTTTCCCAGAGTTACACACCTTAGACTCCAAAATTCTCATCAATTTCATATTCAGCAAATGTAATTCTCCTTCTTATCAAGGCCATGCCCAAGGGTTCACCAACTTGTTTCTAATCCCAAAAGAGCTACGAGGCCTCTGAAAAGATGTGAAATTGCCTTTTTCTTTTTAAAATAACCCTTTTCCTTCATTATTATCCTTGGGATTAGTCTCCTAAGAAGTAATGACTCGGGGGAGGTCTTGAATCACAAAGACAGTTCCAACAGGATGAATAGGCTGGACTCTGTGCTCAGGGGAGCAAAGAAACAGGGCCTGTGGCAGAAAAGGGGTTGAGCTTGGGGAAGAGTGAAGGAAGGATCACGAGGGAGAGAATCCAGGAACGGGGAGGTGAGAGGTGTAAGTGCTTCTGTTCCAACATCAAGAGATGAACCTTGCAGGGAGGGTATAGCTCAGTGGTAGAGTACATGCCTAGCATGCAGGAGGTCCTGGGTTCAATCCCCAGTCCCTCCACTATAAATACATACATACATACACCTAATTACCTCCCCTTCCCCCTGCAAAAAAGAGTTTTAAAAAAGAGAGACCAAACTTGGTCTCACCTAGAGCCGTGAAAGGATTTTAAGCAGGGAAAGAATAAAAACAAATTGGAGCTTCAGGAAAAACAGGAGTAAAGAGATACCATTCCATTTGTCAACTATAGAAATGGCAAACTTAACAATGACAACGGTCTGGGGGAAATAGAGTGCCTTAACACACTGCTCGAGGTGGGTGTCAGTGGAACAATGGTTCTAGAGAGAAGCTTGGCAATGCTGGGAAAGAGATGGGAAGGTGGAAAATCCAGGTGCCCAGAGCTACCTATCTGGGGCTTTCTGATGGGATATCAGTGGCAGATGTTGGGAGAAAGAGGTCAAGGGCACAGGCATGGGCCCTGAGAGCCCGATTCTCTTCCCAATCACTGTTCAGTGACATCATATTAGTAGCTTGAAATTGGCCACGTTGGAGTATGTACACCACAAAGAGCAGCAACTGCTACAAAACAGGGCTCCCCCAGAGAGCCGTTCAACAGCACACTGCCTGAGCCCGTCCTCACCCGGCAACCCCTTGAGTTCTCTCGGCAGCGGCTGAACAGAGACCAAACACAGGCTTTTGTAAGCCAGGGCTTTGGCCTTATATCCCAACAGAGGAGCCTGAGCCTGCTGACCTGGACCGGACCCACTGGACTCTTTGGCCAGAGAGTAGCAGACCTGAGTGCCCTCCTTCCCCTAGGGCTATTCCAGCCCCTGTCTGATATTCCAAAGGAGCCAAGGACTGGGGAAGGCATCTCTTTCCAGATGTGTGGAAGCATAGAAAAACGGGGAAATGACAGGGACAGGTGGTTGGACTTCCTTCCATGCAGGAGCAGGAAGGCCCATCTCAACCCCCTGATGGTCACAGACAAGCCCCTTGTCTTGTGGGCTCTGCACCCTTAACCACCATGATGCTGCCTCCCTGTAGAAGTCACAGGACTTGGTAAGACTTGGATGCAGGAATGGAGGGAGGGTGAAAATTGGAGGCTAACATTCAGGTTCTGGGCTTACATGCCCAGGTAGCTGATGGAGAGATGTGAACATAGGAAGGGAAGATGGGAAAGGATGCACAGGAGGTAGTGATGATACTGTTTGGGATTTGGTGAGTTTGACATGCCTCTAGAACAACAAATTGAGATGTCTAATAAGTAACTGAGAGTTTGCAGTTGAAGAGAGTGATAAAATCTTGGGAGTTAGTGGCATATAGATGGAATCAAAGCCATGAGACCACCCAGGGAATACAGCAGGGGACGACACAAAGACACCTGGGGAACAGCAACATGTAAGAGAAAGAGTGAAGAAAGAAGAAAAGTGGGAGGCAATGTTACAGGCATAGGAGGACACTGGGAGAATGTGACATGCTGCAGAACCCCAGGAAGGGAAGTGTCAAACGTTGCAGAGAAGCTGAGCATGAAGGATTAAGATAAGAGACACGATGAGGTTGTTGTGGCTGGTCCAGGGTGAAGGAGACAGTGGTAGGAGATGGGATCTAAGTAGACAGGAGTCAGATCAGGCAGGACCTTGCGTGCATTTAGGAGGTGTTTGGATCTGATTCTATGTGCAGTCGGAAACTACTAGGGGTTTTAGGCAAGAGAGCGAAGAAATCCAATTTGCATTTTAAACATATCACTCTGTCCTGCTAGAGAGGGTAAGAGTGGAAGCTACCCAGTAACCCAGACTTGGACTAGGATGGGAGGAGTGGAGGTGGTAAATGTATTCAGATGCTGGGTACCTTTTGAAAGGACATCTGGCAGGACTTGCTAATGAATTGAATGTAGGGTAAGAGTGAAGCAGAAATCAAAGAGCACTGAGGTTTTTGGTTTGAGTAGATGGTGGTGCCTCTGACAGAAGTGGGTAAGAGTAATGGAAAAAACAAAGCAGGGTTAGGGGTGGGAAGAAGGACCTAGAATTTCATTTTATTTTGGTCATCGTAAGTACAAGATCAGACATGCAAGCAGAGATCCCAAGTAGGCAGTTGATGATCCAAATCTGGAGCCCAGGAGGGCAAGTCCCAGCTGGAGATAAGAATTTTGAAGTCACCAGCACATGCACAGCACCAAAGCCATGGGACTGCAGGAACATTAAAGTTTTTTCTTCTCTCATTTGACCTGACAGAGGCTCAGTGGCCCTTGAGGCATCCAGAATCATCCCCACTGGGCAGAGGAAGCTGGTCCTTGTAACTGAGAGCTGGACAGGAATCAGGACAAACCTGGCCTCAGGAACTCCTTGCAGAGAAATGGTGCCAGAGAAACTAAGACCTCGTGGAGGGGGCTGAAGGATTTCCATGTCCTGCCTCTTACCACCTCCCATAATCCTTTGTTAGTAACATCCATTCGGGAGGAAGAGAGAAGGGCGATACTGAGGACACTGTCTGTAGGGCCAGCAAGGGGAGCCCCAGTTGAGGCCAGAGGAGTTAAGTGTGGGACTTAATGTGGCCTGCACTAGCGCTACATCCCTGTGAGAGTCAGAACTCCTGAGAATGGGCATAAAAACCACCACAGTTAAAGCAGTCCCAGGAGGGGGGCCTGGGCTTCAGAGAAGGGATCACACCAGCTCTTCTGCTACTAATGGGAAGACGAGCAGGAGCTGAGAGCTGAGACCAACTATCCCTTGCTTCTGAGCCAACCAGATAAAAGTGCTGCAGACCAGAGCTTCTCAAACTTTCATATGTATTCACATCATCTGGGGGGCTTAGCACAGTGCAGATTCTGTTTTAGTAGGCCTGGGGTGGGGACCAAGATTCTGCATGTCTAATAAGCTCCCAGATAATGCCGTTGCTGTTGGTCCATGGACCACACTGAGTAGCAAAGGACGAGAGGCCACCGTGGAGGCTACCCACGATGGAGGGGCGTGTCCAGCCCCAGGGAGAATGCACAAAGTTTACTAGTGCACAAAGTCACAGAACCTTTTACAGTGGGAGTGGCCCCCATTTTGTCACGGTTGTGAGGCAGACAGTCATTTGTCAGCCCTGGCGTGGTTGTCACGCACTTGGGTTCTGGAGCTTGATGCCCTGAGCTTTACCTCTTGGTGGGTGTGTGATCTTGGGCAAATCTTTAATGTCTCTGCATCTCAGTTCCCACATCACTAATGGAAATATTAAGACCATTGTGAGGATTAACTGGGTCGATAGATATAAAGTGCTTGTTACATGACAGCCTAGTGAGCACTCAGGAGCGGCTGCCATTCCTGCCCATACGACACCCTTCCACAGCAGTGAGCACAGACATGCACACAGGCTCACTCTCCTTTTGGTACACGGTCGAAAATGTAACCCCCATCTCCCTCCCACCCAAAGGCCTGTATCCTCTCTTTCAAATTCCTCCTACCCTCCCACCCACTCCCATGCCCCCTCCCCTGGCCCCCGGCCCCAGTGTGGTCTGGATGGGCCCCACGGGGCAGGGACAGGGACAGGACGTGGGGCTGTATCTGACAGGAACCTGAGGGGCTGGCCCGGGAGGGGATTGGGGCCCGGCTTCCTGAAGGGAGGATGGGCTAAGGCAGGCGCACAGTGCCGGAGAAGATGCCCTCCTGGGCCCTCTTGGTGGTCACCTCCTGCCTCCTTCCTGCCCCCCAAAACCTGGCACAAGTCACCAGCCAAGGTGAGGTGTGTGGAGGGTGGAGATCACCTATACACAGGAAGAGGGAGCCCTGGGAGGGGTACAAGGTACGAGGCTCCCACTGGTCCCTCCTCTTGCCCACAAACATGCCTGGGAGGACCCAGAGCCCACTCACCAGCTGTTCCTCAGATGCCTCCTTGCTGGCCTCGGACTCAGAGCCCTTGAAATGTTTCTCCCGAACGTTTGAGGACCTCACTTGCTTCTGGGACGAGGAAGAGGCAGCGCCCGGTGGAACGTATCAGCTGCTGTACGCCTACGCAGGGTATGTGCTGGGCTGTGCCTCACTCCCCCATCTGTCCTATACACACCTTAGCTCAGCCCCATTCCAGTAGCTTCCCTGCCTGTGGCCCTGTCAGAGGACCGCTCCACGTATATGCCCTAAATAACCACTTAATGAACAAGTGTGCTTTGGATATATCCAGCTTAGGCTCCTACCTAGCCCCTGATCCCACCTATTCCAGGCACTGAAAAGATAAATGGTGGTAGTGGAAATAGAAGTTGGGCTTGGGCCCAGACCTGGGTCCTCAGGGCTGGACGTGGCGGCCGTGTAGGTAGGATGGACTTCTCCTATGCCCACAGGGAGAAGCCCCGTGCCTGCCCCCTGAGTTCCCAGAGTGTGCTGCCCTCTGGAACCCGATACGTGTGCCAGTTTCCAGCCCAGGATGAAGTTCGCCTCTTCTTTTCACTGCACCTGTGGGTGAAGAACGTGTTTCTGAACCAGAATCTGACCCAGCGGGTGCTCTCTGTGGATAGTGTGGGTAAGGGCCATCCTCCAGTCACCCTGGCCCCTCTGCTGCCCTCAGGTCAGCTCCTAGAATCAGACTGATCTGTGCTTTTTCAAGACGATATGGATGCTCTCCCTTACCAGGCCCCCAGAGGCACCTCAAGATGCCCTTCTCATTCCCATCAGCCTCAGCATCCAGAGCTAGACTTCATTTCCCGCCAGAGACACCCTGGTCTTCCCATCATTAACTTATTCACTTACTCACTCCTTCATCAATTACAGAATACATACTGTGTGCCAGGCACTGTGCTAGGTGACAAGGATGCAGAGACAAAAAGAGGTCCCTGAGTCTAACAAACCTGCAGTGAGGTCACTGTGCTCCTGAGGAAAGGAGAACAGGATAAGGAGCCTCCCTGCCCAGCCCCAGGGGCTGCCCTCCATCCAGCCTCCAGCACCCTCTCCCTGGGTTGATGTGCTCTGTCTTGCCCTCAGGACTGCCAGCTCCCCCCAGTCTCATCAAGGCCACGGGTGGCAGCCAGCCAGGGGAACTTCAGATCAGCTGGGAAACCCCAACTCCAGAAATCAGTGAATTCCTGAGGCATGAACTCCGCTATGGCCCCAAGGATCCCAGGAACTCCACTGTCATCCAGCAGCTGTCCACAGAAACCTGCTGTCCAGCTCTGTGGAGACCAAATCCAGCTCCAGCTCTGGACCAGCCTCCATGTGCTCAGGCCATGATGCCCCAACAGGATGGACCAGAGCAGACCTCCCCAACTAGAGAAGTATCCTGGCCTTCTTCTGCTCCACCCCCTGTCCATCTCCTACCCCTAGTTTTGCCCCAAGAAAGTAGAGATCATACTTTGGGGATTCTAGATGGGGGTGGTCGTTGGAAAGTTCATATAGGCTCTGATCAGCCCTTAGGAGCCATGACTGTTTAAGGATCTCCCACTTTGGGTCATTCACAGCAACAAAATTGAGAGCTTCAGGCCTCTAAGCTAACGGGGATTAAAAAGCCCTAAACCACCTGAAGCCCCCCAATCTGGCGCCCAGTCTGTGTACATATCTACCCAGGGAAGAACTTAGTGTCTCTCCACAGGCATGCCATGAGGCTTCAGATATAAGAGGTGGAGGCCGCCTTGGCTTGAGGCAGGCCTAGATTCTGAGGCTGGGATTCTTCTCCGAAGGCTCCGTCTCTGACAGTGATACGTAAAAGCTGCCTCATCTCAGGGCTCCAGCCTGGTAACTCCTACTGGATCCAACTGCGCAGCCAACCTGATGGGGTCTCCTTCCGTGGTTCCTGGGGATCCTGGTCCCTCCCTGTGACTGTGGCCCTGCCTGGGGATGCAGGTGAGTCAACAAAGGAATGGGGAGATGGGGAGACGACAGAAAAGATCTCTAGGGAGGCCTGGGCTGGATATGGAAGCTCTGGGAAGCATGGTGCTTCCTGACGACCTCAAACTTGCCACTGGACAGAGTGAACTATGCTCAGGGAGAGGACAAAGAACAGAGTAAATGTTCTGAGTTATGTATGTAAAGATGATGTGGACACCTTATAGAGCAGGAGCACGTGAGCTCTGATGGGACTTCCTTCTCTGACCCCAGTGGAAATTGGACTGCAGTGCTTTACCTTGGACCTGAAGAATGTTACCTGTCAGTGGCAGCAATGGGACCATGCTAGCTCCCAAGGCTTCTTCTACCACAGCAGGGCACGGTGCTGTCCCAGAGACAGGTGAGAGTTGAACTACTGACTGAGCTTGGTGTCATGGGAGAGAGGCACAACCCTGCAGAAAGAAGGGAGAGATTGTTCTTGGTCCTCTGCATTCTGCTCCGTTGTCCCCAAACCAAATGCTCTCATCCTCCAATGGGTATTTTATTTTTTCAACCTCTCTTCATTCCTACTGGAAATGCCTCAGTTTAATTCAGCTTTAATCACGTCACTCGGACCACTGCAACAGCCTACATTCTCATTCACCTCCAATTCCTCGCTTCCTGTGCTGCTGACAGACTGACCTTGGTTAAACTTTGCATGGCCTTCACCTACTCCAATACGTAGTACAACTTTTCGCTATCTATCGGATCCAATGAAAACATCACCTGGTCTTCAAGAATTTCTACCAAACACCTCGCTGATATGCCCATATCCAATCTATGACCTAGTTCTGTTGATTTTACTTATTAAATATCTCTAGAATCTGCCTACTCTGTTCATCACTGCCATTAGGCCAGTACAAGCCATCATCATTTTTCACTTAGGCTACTGAGAAGACCACCTCTTGAATCCTCCAAAACATTCTCCACATAGAAGCCAGAGGGATCTTTTAAAAGTGCAAAAATAAACATTCCTTGTTTAAAATTCTTCCAAGATCCATAGCTTCCACTGGTCCTTGGACAAAGGAAATAACTCTATTGTAGCCATATAGAGTTCTAGAAGACTCAGCTCCTATCCTTGCCTTCAGCTTCATCTTATACCATGCTGCCTTTCGTGCTCTGTGCTCCGATACTGGCATTCATCGGTCCCCTCCTAATTGACATATTCCTCTTCTGCCTCTGGGTCTTTACACACGCTGTTTATCCAGCTCTCCTGTCTTTACTTAACTTCTACTTGTCCTTCAGATCTCAACTCAGATGTCACCTCCTAAGGAACCCTCCCCTGACCCTCCTCCTTAGGTCCAATGGCACTATTATACAACCTTGCTGTACCATGTACTTCTCCTTCTTAAATAGTTATCATAGTTACAATTTCACATTTATACTTTATGTGGTTATTTTATTGATAAGAAAATTCTCGCTCAGAGCTCCAGCCGTAAAAGGCTGATCTTGACTATACACAATCCATGAGGGCAAAGTCAGTGTCTATTTTCACTCACTAGTGTATTCTCACCTACCACACTGCCTGGAACATAGTAGGTGCTCAGTAAGAAACTGTTGAATGAATGGATAATGAAAAAACTGCTATGAATAGTTTTAATGTATTCTTCCAGTGTTTCCATGTGTTCACGTATGTCTATACACAACATTTAGCTTTCAGTATAAAGTGGATCACACTACATATATGATTTCTTACCTTACTTTTTTACTTAAAAATATTTCTTGGAGATCATTATAAAAAGTTGTAACTCATTCTTTATAATAACTGCACAGATTTTCATAGTATGGAGGTGCCGTGAACAGACTAAGGGGAGGCAAAACTGACCTCATCATTTCCTCTGCCCAAACCTGCTCCTCCTCCTATTGTCCATCCTACCATCAACTCCGCTCTTCCGTCCTGGACTTCTGCCATTTCTACACCTGCCAGGTCCAGTCAGAAACACTTGTCATTTCTACTGCTTCAGTATCCCTTGAATCCATCAAATTCCCTCTGCCCCTACTTTCAGATCCCCATCACTTTGCACGTGAAAAACCATAACACTGTCCCAATAAATTTCTCTGCTTCTAGTCCCCTGACAAATCCTTCCCTAGAAACTGCAGTTACAGTGGCCTTCCTAAAGTACAAAGCTAATTATGACAATTCCTTGTTTAAAATCCTTCAATGTCTCCACCATTACTACAAGATTAAATTCAAGCTCCTTAGAAAGGCCACAGGCCATCTATGACCTTAGTCTGCTGTCTCACATCTTCCACTCACCACCAGGCCCTCTATGCTAAAAGCATTCTGCATAACTTGGAGTTTCCCCCAAAGCACCATGTCTCCTACCTGTGCACAAGCCCGCGCTGGGGATGCCTGTTTGTCCCCTTCGCCTATCCTATTTCCAGTCCAAGACTCAGTCTAAGCACTGCCTTCTACAGGAAATATCCTCGGACCCTCCCCGTCTGAATTAGATGGTCCTCCTTGATACTCCCAAGCCAGCCTGTGCTCATCACAGGAGAATACCATCTGTTCATTTTTCTGCCTTTCCCACTGAAATGAGAGCTCCTTGAAAATTATTCCTCTATGTCTTCACAGGGCTTATCACAGTGCCTGGCACATAGAATAAATTAGTAAACATATAAATACATAAAGTGATAAATAATTCTAGTCAGAGCTAGCCATTTAGGTGTTATAATCAGGAAGGAAACATGACTTATTTGTTCTGTAAACAATGATTGAAGGTGACTATGTTCCAGGCACTGGGGCTAGAGTGACAAAACAGAAAACCTTTCAGCATTCGGGGGGCTTACGTTTTAGTTGGGGGAGGGAGAGAAGAGGAGACAAACAAGAAAAGAAATCAAGGAACAAGGTTATATGACAGAGATTGAGAGGATGGGGGGCAGGTGCTAATTTAGACTGAGTAGAGAGGGAAAGCCTTGCCAAGTAGGTGACAGGTGAGCTGAGAAGGAGTGAGTCACGTGAGATCTGGAGGCAGGGCAGTCCAGGGCAAACTGAAGTGCAAAGACAGTGCATCTGGTGTATTTGCAGCCGAGAGAGAAGGTCCCGGTGGATGAAAGGTGGCAAACTGGTGTGAGGATTGTAGGAGGTGAGAGTGGAGAGGTAGGGAGGAACTAATCCATACTATGGAGTTTGGATTTTATTCCAAGTGGGATGGGGAGCCATTGAAGGATTTTAAGCAAAAGAGTTACATGATATGATTTACATTTTAAAAAGATGTTTCTCAGTGCAATTAGAAAGAAGTAAGAATAGAAGCAGGATCACCAGTTAGAAATGTGCCTTAATTCAAGCAACAGGTAATGGTTTCACCTAATGTTCTGGGGGTAAAGATCAAAATTAATGGACAGATTTGTCATATATTTCACATTATCAAATCAACACTTTGGATCTAAATTCTGGTTGCCGCATGGAGAACAAATTGAAGAGAGTGGCAAAAACAGAGGCAGAAAAGCCAGTTAGGAGGTTTTCGTAATTACCTATTAGTAAAATACCATGTAGAGGTGACTAAGACGGCTGCCTAATGAGAATAGGTTAAAAATATAAGGATATTTTCCCCCAGAAAGATGAAGGAAATAAATAAATGACAGAAATGGGGCAGAGATAAGTCAAGTAATCTGCCCAGAGTTATACACCAAGAAGCCAAGACCTGAATTCTATAGACCATGCTATTTTCACATATCTTCCAGCTCTTTTCTTAAGAGGAAGAGTCTGGACACCAAAGCAAAGCTTAGAAAACAAAACATCATGGCATGAAGACACAGAGAAATCCTGGAGGCCCCTCCAAGGGAGGAGTTAGATTATAATCCAAGCAGCCCAAAGCCCCTGTGGGATAGGCATGTCAGCCTTCATCTCTGAGGCAGGCCCTATTCAGTGACTATATGGGGCTGATTCTTAGGGACCCCATCTGGGAGAAGTGTGAAGAGGAGGAGAAAATTCCAGGATCACAGCCCTCCCGGTTCTCCCGCTGCCACTTCAAGTCACGAAATGACAGTGTCATTCACATCCTTGTGGAGGTGACCACAGCCCAGGGTGCTGTTCACAGCTACCTGGGCTCCCCTTTCTGGATCCACCAGGCTGGTAAGAACTTGCTTCCCCTCTCCTCCCACACAGTTCCCACCCCTACCCCATCTGACCCCATGCCCGGAATCACCAGCTCCGACATGTCTGACCCATGGCCCTGGTGACATGATGTCTCATGCACAGAAGGGCTTAGGCCAGTCCCTGCTGACGTCCCTGTAGTGCTCATTCCCACTCCAAATTTGCACTGGAGGGAGGTCTCTAGCGGGCAGCTGGAATTGGAATGGCAGCATCCATCGTCCTGGGCAGCCCAAGAGACCTGCTATCAGCTTCGATACTCAGGAGAAGGCCATCAGGACTGGAAGGTACAGTCAAGAAACAAACGTTCGCAGACCACACACTCAGGGTATTCCTGAGTTTCACCATGTCTGTTATCAGCAGTGAAGGTGTCTGCGTATCTATGTCTGTGCTTGTTTATCTAGGCTTATCTGATTCAACTAATATCTTAATCTCTCTTTGTCATTGACATTGCTGACTACTCCTATTTCAAATTTTCTCTTCCCTTTGTTTTTGGGATATAGTCTCTCCTGATACTCATACCACTTCTCTGACAGAATCTCCTCACTCTTCCCTGGCTCCACCTTTTCCACCCTTACTTAATATGTTGTGCTTCCTACGGCCCCACCTTTGGCTCTTTTCTCCTCTAAATAAATGTATGGATGCTCTCCTTAGGCAAATGCTTCAACTCCACGGTTTCAACAGTTATACATTAACCATCCCAAACTTACCATTCCCATACCCATATGGAAAGGAACTTCTATACCATAGGCAAATTACCTAGACTTCTGAAGTCTCAGTTTCCTCACTGGTGATAAAGATATCTACTTTCCAGAGGTATAGTAAAAATTAAATACATCAATATCCAGCATACTGCCTGGCCAATAGAAGGTACCCACTATGCATTAGTTAAATATTCATTTTTTTCTCTACTTTTATTCTCACTTACTACATGTATGTACCACTTCTTACCAGACAGCTCTACCTAAAAGCACCCCTCCCAGGGCATTTCAGACTCAATGTATCCAAAATTGAACTCATTTTCCTTCCCAAACTTCTTTTTAAGTTGAGATACAAGTTACATAAAGTACACAAATCTTAAACATACAGTTGATTCATCTGTATGTGTGTATACACCCATGGAATCATTACCCAAATCAAATTATAGGTGATTTCTAGCACCCCAGAAGTGCCACATGCCCCTACAGTCACACACACCCCATCCAAGGTGACAACTATTCTCACATTACCACTGATAAGTTTTCACTGTTGTAGAACTTAATAAAATAGATCCATTCAGTATTTTTTCCTCAAACTTCCTTCTCCTCTGTTCCCTATCTCTGACAATGTCACCAACACTCCTCCAGTTACTCAAGCCGGGAGTCATCCTTGACTCTTCTCCCTTTTCCCTTGTCCCTTCCCCCTATTCATCAACAAATAAGTTGAGTTTATTGTCCTAACAGGCCTCAAATCCCTACTACCACTGCCTCTGCCTCATCTCTGAGCATCCAGCCTGCCCACCCATGCTCTGAGGACACAGGACTACTCTGTAACCCCCCATCAGGCACCTAAGGTAGCATTACATGCTTCTTGGTGCCCCCGTGGTGCATTACTTATGTCACTGTTACCGTGCTAATTACTCCTGGTAACTATTACTTGTTTGGACATCGTCCTCATTGGGCACATGAGACCATGTTTCACTTATCTTTTTCCCCAGCGCCTAGTCCAAAGCTTAGCATATCACAAGCAGCTCATAAATGTTTGCTAACTGGTTAATAACGTCTCCCTGCCTGTACACACGATGCTTGTTTCCTCTACATGGAATCTATCCTCGTACCCCCAGCACCTAGCATAATGCGGGAAACCCTGTTGAATGCATGTTATTTGTGGACTGGTCCACGTGGCTCTCAGTATCTGACCGTGTCTGGGGTTTCCATCGCTGGACCTGGAGTTCTGGTGCGCGCTTCTGGCAGGATGTCTGTGCATCCTGGTCAGGGTGTGTGCACCAGAGTCCCTGCAGGTGTACTGGAGTCATATGTGTCAGGATGAGTAGTGCTGTGTGTAGATGAGTCAGTGTGTCGCGGCTTTCGGGCCGGGCAGGGCAAGGCCGCAGTCAGGGCGAGACTCTCTGGGGTGTTCTCTCCAGTCAGTTTCCGCCAGGATGCGTGTTTCTGCCCGTGAGGCTCTTTGGGGGGACCCCTAGGAATTCAAAGGGATTGGATTTGGGTCTGGCGCCAGGCTCGAGGCCCCGACGCTAGCCCACCGGCACTTGGAGCCTGACCACCCGCTCGCTTCTCCTCTGTGCAGGTGCTGGAGACGGCTCTCGGGGCCCAGGGAGAGACCCTGGAGCTGCGCCCACGCTCTCGCTACCGTGTACAGCTGCGCGCCAGGCTCCACGGCTCCACCTTCCGAGGTCCCTGGAGCCCCTGGTCAGACCCAGCGTGGGTGGAGACCTCGTCTGAGACCGGTGAGGGCAGGGCCGGGGCAAAGGCGGTCTGCGCCTGCGCCAGTGGAGGGGCGCCGGCGCAGCGAGGGGCGGGGCTCGGACCCCACCCGGCAGCGGCTGCGCAGACCCTACGCGGAGCCTCG